GGGCCGAAGATGATGGAGGTGCGAGTGAAAGGTGAGAAAGGATGTTAATACATCATATCTTACGATCACAATAAAGCTATCATTAATCAAAAGTCCGTTGTCTGAGAATTGGCTTCAGCAGTATTTTTTTTGTTTTGAATAATAATTTAGACTATATGTGTTCTTAAAAAAATATATAAAAAATTATGTCATGCATATTTATTGTTTTAATAACGAAATATAAATTGTCGCATTTGAATCGAACTTTTTTGCACGAAAATGTCGTATGACGTCATTACTAGCCATCGGTAGTTAACCAATCCCGTCGCCGCTATATCATAGTTGCTTATTTACGTCGTGTTTAACCTTAAAACTGCTGTCACCGTATTTCTCCAAAACAACACAAGATGTCAAATGAAACAAGATATGGAAAAAAGCGTTATAAATCTTGTTTTTTCCGCGAGTGTGGAAATACGACTATTAATGCACCTACAAAGATTTTCCCAATATTCCCACTCTTTTGAGCTGCACATAACCCACTGTAACCCACTGCAGAGTCACCATAATTTATTCGCTCTGATCCAAAGACATAAGAGAATGGACTGCGCGATCCATGTGTCAAAATGATCGATAGGGATGAGAGAGAGGGACCGTGGAAGATTAGAATGTCACTTTCGACCACATAATATCTGTATCTTTTATATATTTTTAATTCGAAAGCTTTATAATAATGTATAGACTTACTTATAATTTTGATATTGTAAGAGCTGGATCGAGAAAAATATCGGGACTCCACCGGTGCCGGGACTTAAACCGAGGTCTCGTTACCGTGCGTATTAGCAAGCTTTCGTCTCGCCTGCCATCATGACTTTACGCTCTTCGTAGTGTAAGGTCTAGCGTCCCTTTCTGCTAGAGTCCTAATTAGACGCCATTTTACTTCAGATTGACACAACTCTCTTATAGGGACTCTAGCGCAGTCCATTCTCTGTGTCTTTGCTCTGATCTACAATAAAGAACAAGAGCTAATGATAATTTTTGTAGGTTAGGTTTCAAAGGTTACATTTTGAGCATTTTGAGTAAAGAATGTATACATACAATTATTATTATTAAATAAATTTAGACAAATTACTATTACACTGATCTCATATTTGAACATTATTAACAAACATGAACTAAATAGTTAAAGGTAAAATTACCTTTTTATTTTAGCTCCACTTGATTCGGCTACATTGTAGCATTCATTATTTATAAAACACAAATTCGAAAACAATTTGATTCGAGAAACGAATATAAGCCTTGGACAAAAATGGAAGAGGCCTGAGGCTCTATTCTTGAAAAGAAACGTATACGAAAAATTAGGAAAATTCTATAGTTCTATAGTATTTTGGATTTGATCCACAGAATCCTACCTTAGTCAGATATTAGAGACAAATATCTATCTGATCATGATATAAGTATGTACAAGGGCATGTTATTGCGCATCTAGAAATCACGTGATAAAGAAGTGACCAATAAGAATTGTCTCAAAGTAGACGTCATCAAAACGAGGGAAATTTAAACAGGCAGTTAGAAATAAGACTAACTTATGGCTTCAATAAAAGAAATATAAGGAAACAAATAAAGAACAACGGGAATGTAAAACGAAACTGGTATTCGGAAGTAGGCAAAGAAAAGGTTAAAGGACGAAGATTATGAAAAAAAGAAAAGAAACCGGTATAGCACTATTGATTACAGTTATATAATGAAATAAATGAAGAATTGAAATTAGAAGAGGGGTTAAAATTGATAGAACTTAACATGTAAGAATGTAGATAAGTAATTTGCGAGCATGAAATTATAGGAATAACTAATATGGATGGAGCTAAAGTTATAGAAACTTGTTATGAATTGTATGAAAATCCTTTTGTGTATAATATACAGAATAATTCATTATCATTAATAATAGTAATGAAATTTGTGAATAATTTTAATATATGAAAATTAAAAAAGTAATTAAAATTGTACGTTTCTATAAAGAGAAG